AAGAAATGTTTAATACAGTAAACAAATAAATATTAAACTTTTTTTTGGTAAAATTTGATACTTTTTAGATCATAACTGCTCTTTATTTCATAAATGACGGTTTCGTATTTTTAATTGTATAATTTCTGCATGCCATCTTACCAGATTTAAATTGATTGTATATAATTCGGAAAAACCCCTAATCTGGAATCGCCGAAGTCTTGACGAGTCCGGATTACGGACTTTGTACTGTAATGCATACTACTTAGGGATTATTTTATTTTTAGGGTGGTATTACAAAAGGGAAATTCAGGCATAGATAATATTTTTAATTGAATTTATTCAGTTCCCATTTGTTCATAGGTCCTTAATTTGTTTCATTAATGATCCTTAAAAGTCCTTAAAATTACTTAATTTCGAACCCTGCATATATGATTTTAATGGTACGAAAAATGTGTACGAACCCTGCATATATAATTTTAATGGTTTTAGCAAACAGCATATTGGTGATAAATGACTTGTCAGGAAATTGGCAGCTAACTCAGAAATTAAGTTTGTATTGAAAATATTAGTTTAAAAGTAGTGTGCAGAATTTTGTTATTCACTACCTTTGTTAATTCTCCCTTCACATTTTCTAAAGGATAGCTCAAATATGTTCAATTAAATTACTTTTAACTAAATGTGAGGTAATGTTATAATCTTTATATAATTCAAAAGTAGCGATGAAGTGTTTTATAATTTTTCTTCTCATTTTTAATTTAATGTAAATAATTAAATTTTATTTCACAATGTTTCACTAATGTTTGTTTCAGTGACAAATCTACAGTGGATTCCAAAAATGAAGTACACAATGGTAAAATCAACGAAAATTAAAAAGAAGGCTTTGATTAGTACCAAATTGTACACGAAGGTAGCAAATGTATTTGTGCATAAAAGAAAACAAACATTATGCACAAAGATGAAAACAATATTTAATTTTTGGAAATTGTATGACGATGCGAGGTTTTGGTTATTAAGAAATTGATTTTTAAATCTAAAAAATAAACGAAACTTAATGTTTATAAAGCATTTGACCATCCCTGAACTTCACACAAACTTTACAGTAATTTTCCATACATTCACTGAAACAATCAACTGTTGCATATATTAGCAATGGAGATTTCTCCATTAGGGCAGTGTCTGTCTGAAACAGGTTGGAGGAGTTAAACATGCAGAGACAGCACACCCAGTGAAATCAAAAAGTTTTTCAGTGATAAAGTTGGGAATACAGAGGCCAATATCTGAGAATGCCATCACTCTTCAGGTACTCTCTAAAAATGTCTGCTTGATGAGGATGGGCAGTCTCACAATGCAGTGAGGGCTTTTTGTCCTGATATTGTGCAGCCACTGTAAAACTATCCTTAAAGATGTGCACCAAGGGGCGATACCCAATTGAAATTCCAGCCTACATCATGATGCTACTACTTCTGAATGTATGAGCTTTGATGATGCTCGGAGTCTGATTTCATGTGCATCATTCTTTCCAAACCTCAACACACTTATCTTTTGATTCCATGGAAAATTCAGTCAAATGTCTGTGAATAGGACATCATATCAACGTGAGACTGTTCAACTCAGGGTTCATACATGGTCCATAGGGTCCTTAGGGTTTTTGGAATCGATTTTTGTCCTTAAAAGTCCTTACTTTCGGCCAAAATTGGCAGGAGATCCTTAATTTTAATCGTCTGAAATTTCTGTCAGTTTTTAGAAGTGTCATTTTTAATATGAATTAGCATTTTGGAGAAATATTTTTGGCGATACATTGACAAATATTTATATTACTAAAGAAATAAAATTAGCACCTATTCTTATATATTCGAAATGCATTTAGTTTTTTAGAATAATAGAAATCCAAATTAAATTAATTAAATCAAAAATTAATTAATTAAATCCAAAAATTCTAAAATTAAGATGAAGCATATTGAAGAAAGAAACCGAATACATAAAGAAAATCATTCTTCAAAGATATGTACAGTTAATTATGTAAATTAAGCAATTGTTTATAATTTCAGCATTTACTATAATTTTCCATTTCCTCACCAGAATGCCAATCACTTAGGTAGATTTTGAAGTAACATTTTGTTTTGGAAGAGAGAATTTGTTTCTGACTTCCACTTGCATGCTGCTTTAGTTCCTACCAGCTCTGATAATTTGTAATAATTCCCCTTTATATTATTATTGCTGATATTTGAATTTATTATGATGAGTTATGAGTTTATTATGAAGCATTACTGAGCCAGCTTAGATTTAAATTAAATTCTGTGTCACATTTTTAGTTTGAATTTGAATTTTCCTGTTTAATTAGATCACCACAAGCTGTAGTTGATTTTGCTAGCATAAGAAAATGCTTTTATCTTCCAAGTTCTTTTTAAATAAGAGATTTATTTAAACCTTTACCTGACTTTGTAGTTACTTTCAGACAAAGTGATGATTTGTTCCGTGTTTGTGAGGGGTTTTGGAATATTTAACTTTTATCAGATTAAGTAAAACCTCATAGGTACATAGTTAATAGATTGGCAAGTTAGGAGGTAAAACATGCAGTAACTAGTGAGAGTATAGGTTTGCATATTGAAACAAATTTTTAATTGTTAGAGAAAATGTTTAAAGAGAAGGAAATTGATATAAATTAGACAATGTCTGGAAAGGCTGCAAATTGGAAAGATGCATAAATATTTTGTTGAGTATTGTTGCTACAAAATGTGTTTTGTAGCTTTTAATGTAATTTAATCTTTTTGTCTTTTAACCCTCATATGGCTTAAGAATCAGTATCATAAATTGCATGTATTTTAAACTCTTACATATTAATAGATTGTGATTTTAAGTTCTTTTTTAACAAGTATTTTTTAAAAATAAATTTAATAGTAGCCATATAAATCTACATTGGCTAAGGATATCTTTCTAGCTAATTTAATTATTTGTAACTAAGTGGTGACCCTTAAAAGTTATCTCTGCATATTAAAGTGAGCTATTGCCTTTCATTAATCTTTACCATGATCACAAGATACAGTAAAATAATGTAACACTTATTCTTTGCATCTAGTGAGACATTAAAAATAATACAAAACAGCTTATCTCCTCTGGTGCTTTAGTGGTTTATTGGAACCCTAAAATATAATTACGTACAACTTTGGCTTTCAACCCCAGGATCTCTACACAAAGGTATGACACTAACTGCATCAGACAGGCAGAACACAACTAACTTTCAAAACTTGCCAAACATGCCTACATCAGGCTTTCAAGTTCGTTCTGATCAGCAGGTCTCTCTCTAGGGAAGCCACTGCTGATGTTCTTCTGTTATGAATCATGCTGAATATGATTTTACTTCTCATTTTAACGTTTTAGATTTTATGCCATTTGACAAAATCTACCTGCTATTTGCTAAACGTCCGAACAATTACATGACAAAATGAGACATAAAAGAAAAAATCAACATAAAGCTAACTGTTAGTGAAAAGTAAATAAAATGTCACTAATCTTCTTTTAAATATGTCCAACTATTATAAGTGTAAAATAGTTACTTGATAAATTTTATAAAGTTGATTTTATTTTCAAATTTGTCTTATAATTATGTTTATTAAATTATGTTTAATAATAATGCATTCTACTTATGGATCTATTTTATTCTTAGAATGGTATTATAAAAGTGAAATGTAAGCATAACTAATATCTTTAATTGAATTTATTCAGTTCCCATTTGTTAATTGGTCCTTAAGTTTTTTTATTAATGGTCCTTAATTTCCATGTGTATGAACCCTGTCAATTGAGATGTTGACACCACCACTTTAATTGTGTCTCTCTGAAGGAGATGTTAAGTGGAGCACCAACACTTGGTACTCTGCCATGCAATCCCTTCATAAAGAAGCCTTTGCCACACAGAACTGCCAGATATTGTCATAATAAGTGGCACTACAACCATGGATGTAATAGTTGTGGAGGTTGCTCATAGATTTCACTTAGCTACTATAGCAATGTACTGGTCTTCAGAAGTAACCTGTGAGTCTCAAGTACAGATCTCCATGTAGGTATAGGTTGAAGCAAGACTGGCACCTGTGCATTCATCTAGGCAAATTAGGTATTGCTAGGCCTTGCTTAATGACTAAGCTTTTGTTCTGGATGGAATTCCAAGGGAGAACACCCATGGGGGTGGTCGAAGAATCTTCCACCCCTCTTACCCTACCAACCTGTCAGGGATTTTGACTCGCCATATATTTTGTGTGTCTCCTTCCAGCTTAGACATTTTACACTACAACAGTCAGCACTGTGCCATCTGAGTGGCACTAACCCACAGATAACTCTTTGGCTAGTTTGAAATTGTTTCCGCATTCTAGAATTTACCAAATGATCAGCACCAAAGTAAAGAGCAGGGATCCTTTTGAGTGACTGTCCTGTTTCAATGTGTCTGACAGCTATTCACTTTCTGCCATTTGTCTTCTTTTAGCTGTAGAAACATGAATATCGTATCTTACAAAATTAGAACCTTCTCAAACCCTTCAAAACTGTTTGGAACTCTTTTTCACATCCTAGAACTTACTGAATGATCAATGAATGACAAGAAAAGAATGACATCTTTGATTGAATGTCCTGCTTTAGTGCATCTGACAGCACACTGGTACTCAATCTCTGCCATTTGTCTTCTTTCAGCCATAGAAATATGAATGTGATTAAAAATTATTTTCCAAAAGCTATGAACACTTAATATCAGTATTTAAATAAACTTTCTCAAACCATTCAGAATGTTGCCTAATCAGCATATGTTCAGACAGTCATAATTGGCTATAACATACAATATTTCCATACTGCCATTTGTATCCACAGCATTTTTCAGTCACACGAGTTCCAACTACTTTGCTTATTTGTGTAGCATGCTTAACTTTTGAAAGCCAGTATAATAAGTATTGTTCTAAAAATTATGTTTGTGCATTCATTTCAAGGAATTTTTATGGTCAATGAAATGCAATGTAAATTTTTTTCATTTTATATAGGTATTGGAAAAGGTGATGGATCTGATTTGTCTTGTGAAGTATTTATTGGACGTTCTAAAGTATTTGAATGTGACTTTGGTCTTAATAAAAATTGTCAAGTAAGTATATATGTCAGGCAAGATTTAGAGTTTTTCAAATGGGTCATTTATTGTTTTAGAAATGTTCCAGTATATTAAGTTACTTTAATTTCTTGTAATATTTGCTAGTCATTTTTTGGTCAGTTTAGCTCTGAAAAATCAAACATTTAGTGCTTAAGGTTGTGTGAGCAGAGCAGGATCAGCCTGTGCTGCACCATGCAGTCTCTGCAGGTCTTCAATTCTGCTACCTAATATCTTCCCAAATTCTAAAACTTTCCCATCCCTCATTTTTGCTGCTTGGTGCTTCTCTAAAGTCTTTCTGTTCTACTTGGTCACTAAAATAATCTGTGTACAAAATTTGTAGCAGTTAATGTGTATAGGTTATGCTTTATTTTCTCATCTGTGCATATGCTGTCAATACCCATTTATCTAATTAAAATTTTTCCTTCATATTTTTTTTAGATGCAACAGTATTTTTTCACTTTTAAAATTTATTGCTACTTGGCTTTTCATAATGTTAAAAGCTAAAGTGTCAAGTTACTGGAGAAGTTAACAACAATCAGCGTAATATTTCGAAATTTGTAGGACTAGTTTCCAAGGTTTTCAAATGTCACTAGTGTCCCAGTAGCAGGTGCACTTAAGTGTCTAAAAAGCAGGCTTTGAGAATTTCGTTTCTCCCATATTGAAATTGTGGAGTCACTATCCCTTACTCAGCTCTGTCTGAAACAAACACATTTGATTTTCCAGAATAAGTATTACAACCAAACCAGAATTGGCCATGGGAGGCTATCCTATCCTTGCTGATATGTATATGCATTATTATGATGCAAAATTACTTGAAATTTTAATCTATGCTCTGTAGTTCCACTACATTGATGATAACTTTGCTCTGTCTGCTGGTAATAAAGATGATTTGAATAGAGTTGTTTCAAGAATGAATTCCATTTGAAACATCCAATTCTCTTCCATTCCTTGACATATTAGAGACAACTTAGCACTATTGTGTATCGTAAACTTTCAGCACACTTCAAATCATCATGTCATTCAACTAAATGGAAGATAGCTTCATTTTATTCCTTTGTTTTCCATGCACTTCACCTTTGCTCTTTTATACTGGCTTTTGATCAAGAACTAAAAATTACTTAAAAGCAGTTGCTGTTGACAGAAGCTTTTCACCTAATGTTATTGACGAAGAGGTTAAAAAGTTCTCAACTTAGCACACCAAAATTCGCACTCTCGTGTAAGATTTTGAGAATTCTATTGTCATTCCTTTCTTTCCATTGATTAACTATGAAACTGCCGTATTTTACAGAAATTAAAATTTTAGGCCGTTTTCTCCTCTGTAAGTAAATTCACAGTTCTGTACTTAAGGATCTCATTCCGGATATGAATTTCTGGGTTATTTACAAGTTTCTAAAGGAGCCTTAACATTTCACATTAAAGAACATGAGGCATATGTTAGGAAAAAGGAAATACAGAAATCCCCTGTTGCCCGGCATTGTTGGTCAGGAAATCGCACTTTCCATTTTTCTGCAGCCAAACTTCTTCAAAAAACATATTCCATTGGTGAACTGGATTTTCTGGAGGCATTTTGCATTCAAAAAATCTTTCTGCTCTGGTTAACGACCCTTATTCCAATAGATGGGGCCAGTAGCTTAACTTCTTTCCAGCCATTCTGATATCTTATAGCGTTCATTTGCGCTGAGGCGGTTCTATAGTTAAACCGTCAAAACTGGTCCTGCAAAATTTACAAATATTATGCCGATTCTCTTTGTTTGACTTCTGCAATAATCATTATTCGGCGTGTTATTTTAAGCTAAAAAGTTTTATTCCTTTAAATGTGATATTTTAAAATTGTAATTCTTGATATCCTTCAAAGAGTTAACTCTTTAACATTGGTAAAGGCCAAAATCTGTTTCACTCCAACATCTAAAATGCCCATATATATGTATGTATGTATTTTTGTTAGATTGGATTTCTTGCTTCCCCCCATGCCAAGCAGAATGCAGCACTAACAATAACCTACTTAAGTGAAGCGAAAACTTCTCTGTATGGATCTTCATGCACTTTCACCACTGTGTGCCATTTTGCTTTAGGACAGGATTGTAACTTCAGGCATCAATAGCTAAACATTGACGCTAAACAAAGGAGAAGGCGCATTCAATAGAACTACTTTTAGTCTTTTCAAAGGAATGATTGTCATGTCACTTAATATCTAAAAGCAATGAGTCATGTTCTAATGTAATGGGGGAAAGCACCAGGTAGAAAATAATTCAGCCATTTGTGAGACTTGACAATGTCTGAATACTAATTCAGAAGTCAAACAACAAAAATCAGCGTTAATTTACAAAATTTTCACAGGACTAGTTTCGATGGTTTTACCGAACCATCATCTTCAGCTGCAAAACCGCAAAACCTTTGCAGCTGAAGATGATGGTTCGGTAAAACCATCGAAACTAGTCCTGTGAAAATTTTGTAAATTAACGCTGATTTTTGTTGTTTGACTTCTGAATTAGTATTTATTCGGCGTGTTATTGTGTCTTAATGTCTGAATAGTCGGGCATTTGGGACAACTTCAGTGTGAAAGAGTTAAAGGTAACAATCATCATTTCTTTTTTCAAAACGAATTTCTGACTTTTTGTAACCAGTTTGTCATCTCTTGATATTCACATGAGGCAGATGTGTCACTTCCTTTACCTGTAATCTGGTTCCAAGTGCAAGCTTCTGTTGTTGCAAAACTTCTAAATAATATGCTAATTAAAATGAATGTGTGTTTTGCTTTGAATCTTGTTATTTCCAGATGTACATAATGTATTTGTCATTTAAAGCAGGTTAGAGTAGTATTTCCACAGTATTTTCTGAAATTTTATTCCTTTCATTGTTGTAAAATTCAGCCTTAATTTTGTGAAAGAAAATCTTAGTTAAAAGTGAATTAATTTCTTTGGCAAACTTATATAACTATATTCAGTTCATATTTTAATAATGATATACAACATGCAGAATGGAAACTTTTTATCATATTTTAATAATGGTATACAACAACATACAGAATGGAAATATTTTTTTTAATATTAAAAATTCAAACATTTACTTTACTCAATTTTTGAAATGTAACTGCTGTGAAACTTACTTGTGTTCAAGTGGTAATAGTTAAAATAAGCCATGTACTTAAATTACAAATGAATTTGTGAAAACCGAAGATAAGTAACAAACTTTTCTAGTTACAGCTTTACAGCTGCAGTCTTCTGCCGGTGGTTTAGTGGATGGAATGATAGTACATATTGTGTATCCTAATTTATTATTTAAAAGTTTAATCTTATTCAGTCCATTATGCCATTCCATTTTACTGCTTCTAATTTATGTATGTAATGTATAAAATTCGGTATATTTAGGTTGAGTATAAATCTGAAGCAGATGTGCTTGAAGTGACAGTTCTGAACTGCCCTATTCTGCATGGTGATGTTAAGTTAAGATTTCAGTGTTCATCAGTAAGTGACTATTTATTTATGCGCATAATAAAATAGCAGTGTGGCATTTTAATAAATGTCATTTATCAGACTCGTATATTCCTTAATATTTGCTTTTCAGCGAGGTGTTCCAAAAGGATATGAAAATTGTCCATTTTACTTCTGGTTTCACACAAGTTTCATAAAAAACAACAGGTAAGGTTTAATATTTTTATTGATATGATTTCTATAAAAGTACTTTTCATAACTCTGAATGAAGACAAATTCTCATTCGAGACCAATGTCTTATTGCTGCCTAGGCAGACCTGCGATAAATAAAAAATTTTAATGTTACTACTCCTTTTATATCATTTAGAGACTGACTGCCAAGCCATTACTCATCTTTCATATATTAGCTAAACTGATCAGTTCTCATGCTTTCCAGATGCAAATAGTTTTGGGTCTGTCAACAATGAAACAGTTTGTTCTGCTTGTGCTAGCCTTAAGAAAGCGTAAAATTCATTATTCTGGAAGTTGAAACAACCGGGATGATCTGGCATCTGAAAGCCATTAGTATTGATTATTCAAGCTAGAGTTTATGAAAAGTTAAGTACTTTTAATTAGCAATAAACACAATACATCAACAAATAAATCAAAGTTTGCAAAATTTAAATGGTTGATACTCAGACTTCTATCATGGGGGAAAAAACTTTTCATGCCTAAATATTTGAACAGAAGTCGCAAAGCCTCTTATATCATTCATGATTCTTCATCAGTTCTTAAACAAATGAAATATTAAGAAGTAAAGATTTCTTCTACTTAGCAAAAGTAGTGTTTTTGTGAAATTTTCTTTAAGCTAGAATGACAAGGTGGACTCTAAATAAACTCATTTGGTGCATAATAACTTTATATGAATATGCACCATCACATCCACAATCCATCCTAAGCCTGTTATAAAGCAAAGAAACAATTGCTAGTCTTTTATATATCAACAAAGAAACCTATCAAACTATCCAACATTTATTTTAAACCTAAAATAACAAGAAGAATAATGGTATTGTAAATAGAAGTAACACATGTATGATGTAGTTTCCATCTTCTGAAGGTGAAAAAAAGAGCATGCATTCTGGAAGCTATAATGATGGCCAAGACAATGGTGCGCTGAGTGATCTGATTCTGTAGTTAGAAATAGGCGTACAATGTAGGAAAAAGAGCATAAATATAATCATAAGTATTTTACTGTTATTTGTACCCATTACTGTTTACAATTTTGATGCTTATCTGTGTGAGATTTGAAGTAAGCTTGGCTTATAAAATTTACCCTTGCCAGTATGCTGTTCTTTCCAAGCAGTCAAAATAACCTCCAAAAAGGAACTTAAATCGTGTATATCAGGGGTTCTCAACTGGTAGTACGCAAGAGAAATGGGTGGTGTGCAAATAAGCAAAGCAATTTTAACTATTAAATTCAAAAATTAAAACTCCAACATCCTGATTGATTTTTTTTTTTTTTTTTTTTTTTTTTATCTAACACTCTTAAATTTATGTGATCTGAGATTTGTTTAAGAGTGGTAGTAGTACTTTGTAGTGGTGATACTAAAGGTTTTCAATTTTTGTTTAGATGGTACGTGTTAGTCAAAAGGTTGAGAACCGCTGATGTATACTATATCATAATAAGTCACTTTTTCCTTCTACATAAAAGCCAAAACCCTCATTGGATTTCTTTTATTAACTGAAAAAATTGCCAATTTTAAGTCTTTTAAAAATGAACATTTATAAAGTGGGAAATTACTGATCGAAATAAATTTGAAATTGAAAATAAACTTATTTTCTCAAGAGAAGTAGTGGTATGTCATTTTTGTTTAAATAGGAATGCATTGATAAAAAGAATTAATTATATGTTATCACATGACAGTGAATTACAATTACCATATGTTCACAAATATTATACACCACCAAATAAAACTCTCACCTGATTTTTTCCCATGCACCTAAACAGAAAAAATGTCTGCAAATGTGGCGCTCAAATTTACATCAAGCCCACTGAAAGCTTAATTTACAGAAATCTTTTTTTCTGGATTAACAAGCATAAAAGAAACAGAAATATGATACCGATCGATTGTTATCAGGAAAAAAATCTGAGCTACTGCTTGCTGCTTTTGCAGCTCCTGACTAAGTACGTAGGAACACATGCCCAATAACATTTTTAAAAACTGCTAATCTAAGTCTGCTATATGAAATTTTATTCATTAAACAATAGCTTTAGTTGACAACAATTAATGCACTAAATAGGGATTTAAAAGTCCGAGTGATCCTTTAAAAATCTACTGGTAATTTAAGAAAGGCATATAACTTATCTAATAAAGACAAATAACTTACCGCACCATGGCACTTCTTCCCACTTTTTCAGACTGGAAGCACATTGTTGTAGATTGTCAATCTTCCTCGCCATCTGCGCTGCTGTCATCACTGATGCTTCCCGAATTGCAGGTATTCTCTTCTTCCTCATCATCCCACGCAGTACAATCCTTACTTCTGTCCATACTATTTGATATTGTGCACTTTTTGAAGCTCTTAAAAATAAATTCTTGTGAAATTCCATCCCAGGTAGTTTTTATACATCCACAGATTCAAGTTATTTCGGGCTTCTTGATGTGACAAGTCGGTGTTAGTGCATGATCCGTTCCATGTACATTATTTTCAGTGCTGCTTTAAATGTGCGATTAATGCATACATCTAGTGGCTGCAGCATAGATGTCACCCACCCAGAATAGCCACAAAATCAGTCCCGTTTTCCTGGCACATTTTTTGCACTGCATGAGTCCTATGTGTACAAAAACTTTCTAGCACTAACATGCTCGGCAACTTCAACACAGCGCTCAGACGACGATCCCATACGCACTTCATCTAATCCTCAAAATGAGAAGCATCCATCCAGCTCAACTCTTGTGTCCTTATGATGATCCCATATGGCAAAGCTTCCTTTGGCAGGGTTTTACACATGTTGCAGCTTTGTTCCGTCAGTTAGAACGGAAAGCATTACAGTAATGTGCTGCTTTTCCCATGCTGTTGGTTCTTATGCTTTGTCTCTTGGTTCACTTGCCTATTTTCTTTTTGCCCTTTACATCCACAGTCATATCCAGAGGCATCTCAAAATATACAGGTGTCTGATCAGCATTACCAATTTGTTGTTGAATGCAGTTTCTTTTTTTTTTCGCAGTTAGATCACATGGAAACTGAAATGCAATCAATTTCTCATGGTATGCTTTGGGGAGGCATTGTGCAGTTGTCTCCTCCTAGCGCATTAACAATTTCTTCTAAAAATTTGTGAACCCAGCCTCTGCTTGCCTTAAAACATTTCCTTTGTACCTTCCTAGCAATTTGGATGACCTTTAACTGACACATTTCTGACCATAACTGCCACATTTTGTGAAACACCATATCCACTCATGCATTTTTCAATCACGTATTCATAAAATTTTCTGTTCAAAGTCAGGGTGTTTGGTATGTTGGGCCAGGGAAAGTCCTGCTAGGAACACTGCTGCGTTGAAGCAATTCTTTTTTCTTTCACCAGTCTTAAATACATGATTCACTAACGTCATATTTTCTTCCTGCAGCTTGATTTCCTATCAATTCCGCTTCTCAGTGTCAATTAAGTTTCTCACTGATGGTGAATGAGCGCAAACACTTGCTGCTCATCTCAAGGGCAAACACGTCTTTTCTAATGACAAATTTCTGGAGTCTCTTTTCAAAATGATTGATTTACGATGTATTTGTATTATCGCAGGGCTATCTCAAAATGGTTCAACTAGATGTCTTAGTGCAGAGATGAAATGTGATTCATAATGACACAAAGATCAAGGAAGCAGCATAGCATGGGCTGGGTGAAATGTGTTAAAGTTCGTGTATGTCTATGTAGTTGGGGTAGGAGAAATGCTATTGTTACCCTTGGTCCACTTGCCTATTTTCTTTATTGAGGGCATGTTGACAAAACGATAACTACCCCTGCTTTTAAAGCTGCCTCCGAGACCATTTTGTGATATAGTGGAAGGGGAACAATATACCATGTTTCTCTTTAATTGAAAGCTAATGGCTGAGTGGGAGAACTGGAATTTCTGCATAAGAAATTCCACAAACTGCAGCTGTAAGCAGGAAAGAAAGGCTGGAATCTTGTTTCAGCACATGTCAATTAGCATTTTGGGAGAAAGAACATTACTGACCTGTCTTTAGTTCTGATTGTCTCGCTATAACAACGTGCTTGAGAGATGCTGTTGAGTTTCATGTGATTTAGTAGATTGCCTCATTTTGTCTGTCTTTTGTGTAACTTTATTAACATACAAAATTTTAGTTGTAGAATTTCTAGAGTTTTATGGCAACACAGCCGTTTTCATAACCGCGTATTCAGTTTAGTGGCCAGGACTAGATGGGAAAACAAGCCATTGGCACAAATTGACTCAGAAAGCAGAGAAATGAACTTTTGTTAGTTTTCTAGTGCGATAGAATTAATACTACATCAAGCAAAATATCAGTAAAACATACTTTAAAAACCTCGCTCTTATTTACGTTTTTTGCCATGTACATATTTTAAGTCGAACGTTGATTCAAAGTCGGGGAAGGTAGACATTGCACTGCAGAAAAAAAGTGGCAAAATGTTCAAATCATCTTCCTGATCTCTTAAGAACAAGTCTTGTTTTGTGTTTATTTCCAGCTCCCAGTCAAACTATCATACGTTCTGTTGTAGCGATATAGACAGTGAAGAAGCACATGTTTTGTTTTTCCTCGCGATATGAGTGCCCCCCCCCTCTCCAAGCAATGCAATTTCGGTCTCCTGCAAGCAGACACTGGCTGTGAAATGACAAAACAACCCCTTCTCCCCGCTTTTTTCTTTAAACTGGTTTATGTACCAGAATTTCTTCTTCTTTATCAGCTGAGCTCTAGTGCTGCTGCCAATATTATGACTATGAAGCCAAGTTCGGCAAAAACCATTCAGAGAATAACAGTTTTGTGAAAGTACTGGTATATCCTGTACAAATCCCTGGCCATGATTTATTATTTAAGAGGCACAGTAGCATCATGTAATGTTATGTTTTCTGGGGATACCATAGCTTCAAAAAGAAATAATTTATGTTGAGCAACTTGCGTATACCTGGCCTATATTGTTTTGTTTCGCATAAGCCACGCACCTCGATTTTTCCGATTAAAATTATCAAAACATCTGCATGTGGTATTCGTGAACGTAAAGCATATCTCTTATTTTTATGACTGCCTTTTGAGTGTGAATTATCATTTTGGAGGAATATTTTTGGCGATTCACTGACAAATCTGGTTAGCTGTTGAATAAGTTCATAGGTTATAATTTGTTCCTGTTTTAATATAAATGGTGGGATACTTAAGTTTCTGAGCAAGAAGTGAAACATAAGCATTTTGATGTTATTACATTTTTCCTAATGAAGAGCTCTTAAAGAACTTTTCGCTTTTGGCGATGTGAATTCTTTTGTTAAATGGTTCTAAATTTGGGTTGGCATTCACTCACCAGGATGCAAATCTCTTGGACAGTTTTTAAACTGAGGTTTCTGGAGTGAGCATTAACATTGCTGACATTTGAATTTGTGATGATGACAGAGTTACTGAGCCAGCTTAAATTAAAATTAAACTGTATAGTCTTTGACCACTAGTCCACATTTTTAGTTTGAATTTACTCTTCTTGTTCAATTACATCACCACTGGCTGTAATTGATTTTGTTACTATAAGAACATGTGTTTATGTTCTAAGCTCTTAAATAAGAGGCTTATTTAAACCTTTTTCTGACTTTCTAGTTACTATCAGACATAGCAATAATTTGCTTGAGGTCTGTGTGGGGATTTTGGACTATTTAATTTTTACCAGATCAAATAAATTCTCACAGGTACATTGTGGAGAGGTTGACTAGTTAGGAGATAAAGCATGCAGAAACTAGTGAGAACATTGGTTTGCAATATTAATTTATTATTAAATATTATTTAATATATTTGTTATTAAAATAAGTTTTTAATTGTTAGAAAATATACTTTTAAAGAGAAAGAAATTTATATAAATTAGCCAAAATGTCTGAGAAGGCTTCAAAAAAGACGCATAAATATTTTGTTGAGTGTTTTTGCTACGAAAAGCATAAATGTTTTGTAAGTTTTAAAGTGTAATTATCCTAACATGGTTTATGAATCAAAGTCATAAATTATATGTATTTTAAACTGTGAAATTTTATTAAATTGGGATTCTAATAAAAGTTTATTAACATCATTAAAAATCATTTATTTATTTAATAGTGGCCATGTAAATCCGTAATGAGTAAGGTTATCTAACTAGCTAATTAAATTATTTATAACTAACTGGTTACCCATGAAAATTATATCTGCATATTAAAGGGAGTTATTGCCTTTCATTTATTCTTACCATGGTCACAAGATAAAACACAAAAATGTAAAATTCATGTGAAACCTATTCTTCGCATCTAGTGAGACCTTGAAGTAATACAAAACAACTTATCACGGGTGCTTTAGTGGCTTATTGTAATCTTAAAGTATATTAACTGGGTTACAGCCCCTGGAACTCTATTCGAAGCTACGACACTAACTGCGTCAGACAGAGCCCCATTAACTTTCAAAACTTGCCAACTATGCCTAGATCAGACCTTTCAGGTTTTTTCCGATCAGCAGGTCTCTCTCTAGGCAAGCAGCAGTGGTTACTATAGCTAGTCTTTTGGTATGAATCGTGCTGATTATGATTTTACTTTTCATTTTGACCTATGCCACGTGACATAAAATATACCTACTATTTAAACCTCTTTACTGAGTAAGTATGTGACAAAATGAGACACAAAAAAGAAATCAACATAAAGCTAACTGGCTAACTGTTAGTAAAACGTAAATAAAATGTCACTTATCTTTCCAATCTGTCCAAATAGTGCAAGTGTGAAATATTTAATGCTACTTGATAAATTTCATGAAGTTTATTTTATTCTCAAACTTATTAATAATTATGTTAATTATGTTTAATAATAATGCATCCTACAGATCTATTTTATTTTTAGGATGATACAGTCAAAAGTCGTTAATCCGGACTCGTCGGGACTTCGGCGATTCCGGATTATTGATTTTTGCGGACTATAGATCATCAGTTTAAATCTCGTAAGATGGCATGCAGAAATTCTAAAATTAAAAATATGAAACCCTAATTTATGAAATAAAGAACAATTATGATCTAAAGGGTATCAAAATTTAAAAAAAAAAAAAAAAGCTTAATATTTATTTGTTTACTTTATTAAAACATTTCTTTCAATGTAAGTTGTTTAAGTTGCTTCGTTTTATGTGATAATACTTTCTCTTTAATTCTATAAACAGACATAATTTCTTGTTCAGTTACAAAGTTCCGCTGTTCAAGTCCCGTTAATTGCTGTGCCGAGAATACCGAACTTGTCAATCAAAATTTTTTCGTTTTCACTAACTTCTCTGTCACATTCTTCATGTCTTTATCCATTTTTGCAGCAATTCCACTTTTTGTTTGTTGGACATCGAAACATACTTTCGTTTTGTAGATTCTTTGGAAGTTCCAGCATCGGAAATTCTATTTGACATAATCGAAAGTTCAAGTTTACTTTTATAAAATTGCAAAAAATTATAAGCGGAATCCAATTCAAAGATTAAGGAACAACGCAATCGTTAACATTAACTGAAATAGATAATTAGTTAATTTTAGCATTCACCGTCTGTTATACATTAAACGCGCAGGCGAAAACATATTCTGCACTTGCGCACACGCATATGCGCAGTAGTCAAGGTCTTACGGACACGCGTAAAACGCCTGTGCGCATGTGCCAACGCGGCGCATGCGCAGAAAGTTTTTAGCTTTGAGGTCTGGATTATAGATCATTCCAGATTATGGGTGTCCGAATTAACGACTTTTGACTGTATTACAAAAGTGATCTTCCGGCATAGATAATATTTTTAATTGAATTTATTCAGTTTGCATTTGCTTATATGTCCTTAATTTTTTCATTAATGGTCCTTAAAAGTACTTAATTTCCATGTCCAGAAATGTGTACGAACCCTGGATGCAGAATTTGATTATTGCAACTCTCACATCTTTGTACCAGCAGACAAATCTGCTTTTGTTGTAAGTTCAGTGAAAAATAAACAGCTTTTTGGCATGAAGGCATTTTTATGCAGCCTTAGTACAATAACTAATCATACAAAAGGTCTGATGGAAACTGCAGAATCTAAACTCAGCTACATATCAGCCAAGTTCCCATTGTGATGAGCAGGTAGTATTAGAATTGTCCGATTTTGACTGGATTTTCTTTTACAATTTTGTCCTGAAATCGCAATGATACTTTCAGAGAATTGAAACTGCTTTAAAAGTAGCTAGGTACCTGACTACTAAAACATTTATCTGACTTGCCCCTTCTATAATTATTTGCCCTGCTTTTAAATGCCGTATAGTTCTACATTTCAAATTCTTCCGAATAATGCTTTGGTGCCCAAAACTGTTTTAACTTGATGAATACTAAACATCATGTGCGCCAGTTGTTAGAATTTTGCATTAAGCTTAAATCAGCTTAATCATAATGTAAAATTAGTAAGCAAAGAAGGACTTGTACGTGTTCACCTTCAAAATCGACTGAGATCTTGACATAAATTTACATAAAACTCAAGGTTGTTGTGTTACTAATTTTATGTTTCACTTAGCATGTTTATCTTCTGCTTTCATTTAATCATAATGGCTTAGCTCCTGGAATTATGGAAAACAGTGTAGTTGGATACTACTCCTACAGGTGTGGTGCTAATAACCAACCAGTGCCACACTTTTAGATCTTCAGTTAACCTGCATTTCCTTAGCAGGCATGTTTCACTTCTGTCTTGGTGTGCACATTCATCAAATTTTAACCCATTAAACATGTCTAGTCCAAGGTTTCTGGTGCAGTAAGGAGACCAGCAATTATGACTGATGAATCTGGCCATGAAGTTATACCTTATGTACTTCAATAAACCAAACTGATGTACTGTCTGTTTCACTGTATGCCCAGTCATGTACTAGCAGTTGCTGCTACCATCGTGGTAACATGCAAAACTAATCACTGCACATTCTGTACTTCCAAATTACCTTAAATTTTTTCACTTGATCCTTGCATTATAAAGTATTTATAAAATAAATATGGTTTTGTGATGTTTAATGGTCAGCAATTTATGCAGAAATAATAGCTTTGAGAAGTATGATTTTTGAGTGGATGAATTCAATTCAATGCTACAGCCCATTAGAAGGCAGCTTGTAGTACAATAACAAAGTAAATTTATTAAGGTGTTATTGATCTGCAGAACAACTAAGAACAAACATAAATGCTAAGAGTTATGCATGCAAGCAATTTCAGCACATGTAACTACAGTATGAAATAAACTAATTGATAAATAACTAAAATTTGACTTGTTTCTAATTTTCCTTATAAATTTTTCTACCAAAAATTATGAGTTTCATATATTTTATTTTTTAATCAGCGTGAGTTTAAAAATCTCTCATTCATCTATTAAAAAATATATTTTATAGGTTTCAAGTACAGAGAGATTATCTGGATAATCCACATAAACCAAAAACTTGGAAGGTATTTAGAGAAAAGCTCTCCATTGAATTATTATTCAGCTCTCCTGATGATAAACTAGATATTCCATTACATTAGAATGGTTAAATGCGATTTCAGCTGGGCATTATTCGTGAATGTGTAATCAATATGCTAATGGTTTAGGAAAAGTCATAAGAACTTTTTATTATGTCCTGTGATTTTAAACTTGTTATGACACATATTGTTGACTCGAGATTTATAAAGTTATTTTGTATACCTTCCAAAGCCAACATGTTATTTTAAGAAGAAGGGGATCTTATATCTCATTTTAGTTAAAAGATGACTGAAATCTATTATTATTACCTTTTTTAACACCAAAACAATTTTCAAGGAGCTTAATATTTTTTTTAAACTGATGGAACTATATTGCTATTTTTGGATGCAAATCAGCTGTGAATAATTTTAAAATACTACCTGGAGTAAAAGTTATATAGTAGCTATTTTATATATTTATTATTGCTATTTGAAGTATATTTTTATACATATGTTTACAACTTGAATTTACATTTTCTTTCTGCTAAAAAATCTGACATGTATTGGCATTTTAAAAGCTATATTTTGAGTTATATTGTAACTTTGCACTTGTTAACCTTGAAATATTAATAAATTTTTTTGAACAGTCTCTTTTTTTTATTGAATAAAAAATACACTACAAAAATTCTAAGCTATGACATTTTATGCACAAGACAAATTTATGTAAAATTGTTTTGTTTAAATACTGATTAAAGCAATTGGATCATGATAAAAAGTGTCTTATTCTGTTAAAATTATTAGAACTAAATTTCTTTTTCATATTTCTTTGCAAAATTGCAATTGAATTAATAGTATATATGAATTTTAAGACAGCAAGCATAAAATTTCACAAAAGTCCTTATGTGGCTTAATTTTTTTATTTTTGGTCTGTTTTTTTTTTCTCTCATTTAATGATGCAAGTATATTATTTCATTTTTAAATTTAAAAATATGAAATCTTTTTGTATGCTTTGCTATACTTACAGAAACTGTATACTCATTACAGAAATAAAATACAAAACGTGCGACTCCATTATGCAAAAATTGACCTAGGTATTTAGAGATTATATTGTGATCGGCTATATACAAATTGAAGAGTGAAACGTTTGTACATAACTAAAAATAAAATATCAGTTTAGAAAAAGGCTTCTGATTTACTTTCATTTGGGACTTATGTTGAGAGTTTTGACATAGTGTGAAAATTGGTTCTGTGCTGTAATTTAAACTTTAATGAGTGTTTTTCCTTGAGCTTAACAAAACCGATGAACAGGACATGTGAGGAAAAAGTGTAAAATGAAGAAAATGGGAGTTGGATAATGGGTGATTAACTTGATTGGTATGTTGTCTGGTACTTGGCTGTAACAATTCCGTATGTCATCTAAATGCAGTCTGGGACATTCAGCTAGATTCTTATTTCCATTATAATAATATTCAGCTCCTTTCCATGTCAGGGTTTCATACACTGGATCACTGCACCAAGCTGAAGAGAATCATGGCTGCTAGCCACATCGATAACCAGGACGTCAGAAGAACCAGGACGTCAGTCCTCATGCACACACACCTTCTTGTCTTCAACTTGGGCTATACGATGTTGAATTTTACACATCTTCAGAACTGTACAACCACAACAGAAAATGCAAATTTCTCAACACTGATTTTAATAGATTAAGTGGTAAGCATTTTCTGTGCAGAATGTTGTGGAAAGTAATATCAAAATATTTTTTAAATGTCTTGTTTACACAGTGTATTTTAGAAAATGCATTAGAATATAATAAACCCATAACTTTATAAAGTAGCTAATCAGGAAAGCAGAATTAATGCAACGTGTCCCAGATGAAAGTTTGGTTTGGAATATTTTTTTATTTAACCTTTAATCCTTATTGGTTGTTAAGTTTTGATTCTCAAATTTGAAAGTATTAATTTGCTGAAGTATTGTATACAAGTCTGCATAAATAGCTTTATATAAGAATCATATACATAGTTCAGAGGTTTATTGTAAGGAAATACTATTTTTAGGGAATCAGGGCAAATACCCAAATTAACACGGAGAGTTAAGGGACTATTGCAAATTAAAGTAAGAATTTTGATATATATATTTTATCCTACATATTCCTGAGAGTGTGGGAAATTCTTGGTATGTAAAAAATTCAGATATGGTCATCCTCCACCATTAACACGTAGCGTCATTGGGAGAAATGCATACGCAGACGGACGACCGTTTACACTATTGCATTTGATTTACGTATACGGAAGTTCGGTGGTCAGTTGCATTTATTGCTACCAGATGTCTCTGTATTTAACTTATGGTATTCAGACACTTAACGATAAATTCGATGTTATTGGAAAATTTTATTTCTTCTTATGCGCTGTGAAAGTAAAGCATGTTAGCAATTTTTAGATATAAGTAAGGTTATCTCTATTATGAACCATTTCTAATTGCATAGAAGCTGAAGGTATTTTAAAACATTTCTTTGCGTTTCTAGAAGCCGATATATTAAAGAAATAATATACAATTAAAACTAAAATGTACTGCTAGTGCAAAGCAAATAAAGTTCACATTTAAAAATAGCTGGTACTTTAAAAATACAGAGCAACTGTAAAGAAAGGCTCACAATATTTACACAAAATCTGCCATGCGTGTATACTGGTGACTGTCCCATGAGATTGTATATTTTAAAAATACACATTTTGGGAGAAAACAGATAGCATATAAAAATTTAGCATTAATTTCTACAGTGTCATAGCTGGATAATTTATTAGAAATCTCATTTGTATTAAAATGCACTATGTGCAGTTATATTATCTATCATTATGTGCAGTTATATTTATTTTTAATTATAAATTTTAAATTCATCTTTTTAACAGAAGTTATAAAGATAAGCTTTTTTTCTCTTTAATATGTATACGTATATAAGGTAAAGAAAATCGAAATATTTAATTAATTCCCTCTGCTTCAGCTGGAGAGGACTGAATTTTAAGCAATTATAAGTTTTAAAAAAAATTTTTATTAAAAATATTTAGGGCATTAAGTCTCATGTTAATTGGTGGTGAAAGTTTAGAGTTAGAAACATCCCAAAGTCTCAGCACATGCATGTACATTTGCATAAAAACGAATATATATATATATGTGTGTGTGTGTGTGTGTGTAAAGGGAATATGCTTTAAATTTGTTTTATAACTTTCAAATTAATTCCTGAAGGGAAAATTTAAATAAATAAGAGCATAAATAAAACATTATATTTAATGCACAAAAATAACAAATAAATTATAAAACACAAATATAGATCAGATTGGAATACTGATTTTGAAGCAGTTTTTTAAAAATTTCTTATGCAATTTAAATCATGTGGCAGCTTTTGGTATTGGAATAATTATTTTTATCATAGTTTTCTTTTCCAATAGAAATTATTATTTGGATTCATATATATTAATTAAAAATGACTGAAATTAAAGAATGGGACAAATTTGTTTCACTGTGCGTGGCAAATGCTGCTACTAGGTGGCATCACCATTCAAACTTTTTTTTGAGGATCTATCTGTTCCATTGTGATTTTGATTCTTTCAATTTAATTTTCTGAATTTTTTTAGATTTACCTTATGGTTATTTCTAAATGCACAATTTTTCAGTTTTGTAACATTATCACAAGGAATAGCTTAGTATTTCAGAAGCTTTAGAACTTTGAGACCCTTCCTTTGAACAGAGAATCTGGAGTTTCGGAATGGTTTGATAACGAAGAATATGATCCTGGTGTATGGGAAATTGATCAATGCTGGGAAACTGAGTGATCCTGAGAATTTTCTTGAAGATTCAGATTCTGAAAAGTCTGATTTTATTGCTGCAGGACCCTCAAAACCAGTAATTCGTACATGGATTGGGATATCTGTTGTGGCTTGAACTTATACAGAAATTTTAAATGCTGATTAATATTGTTTTATTTGTTTTTGGAATGGCAACAGAATTTTTTTTTTTTTTTTTTTTTTTTTTTTTTTTTTTTTGTTCTAAGAATTGTTTACTGTTGCTAAAAGCTTTAATAAAGATTATTTTTTATTTAAAATGTGGATTAACGTTATCTGAAATGAAAACTGAATTCAAATTATAAAAATTAATTTGGAGTCTGGAGCCAATATATCCATCAGCTCAAGCTCACAAGTATTTAATGAAAGAACTGGCCCATCAGATGAACTGCTGTTTTTGGAGGAATTTTAGCCCATAAATATATTGCTGACTATATTGACCTGTAATTTTAGAGACCCTAGCTTTCCAAACAAACCTTTAGGCCGACCTTTCACTCTAACAACATTGGAAGAAATACTTTGCTTGTTTTGCATCAGTCAGTATACGGTATTAAACTCCGTAGCTATAGATTATTGGTCTGTTTCACCAGTATTGCATGATGATTATATAATGAAATATGTTGGCAAAAGGATTAGTTGGCTGCTGTTGAATTTGCATCTAAATGATAATAGTCTGTAGCTTAAAAGGGATCAAAGTAATTTTGATAATCTCTGCAAAATGAGTCTTCTTCTCAATCATTTGTTGGAAAGATTTTTCTATTTCGACCAAATAAAAAGCGGTCTATTGACGAGTGAATGACAAAATTTAAAGATCATACTTCATTTAAATAATTTATGCAAAAAAAGCGAATTAAAAGAGAATATAAATTGTGGATAAAGTGTGATGAGTCTGGTTTTGTATGTCAATTTGAACTCTACACTTGGAAGAGTGGAGATGATGTTGAGAAAAGTTTGGGGAAAAGAGATGAAAATCCTTGTGCAAAAAACTATTTGGAAAAAACCATCAGTATATATATATATATATATATATATATATATATATATATATGTATCATTTTTAAAAATGAAAAATGTATTTGCGTATGGCGTTAGTTCATTTACCAAAAAATCTGGATGATAAAAAAATTACTTCAATGTAATTTTGACTACATCATATGTAATAGCATGTTGCATCCAGTGGAAGGATAAAACAATTGTTTCCATTTTGTCAAGTTTAGATATGGGATATGCTGAGTATTTTGACCACCTAAAATGTCTATCAGATTGGCAGAAAAAGTTTCAAATGGTGGCATAGATTTTTTTTTTTTTTTTTAAATTTTCTAGATGTTTGTGTAGTTAAGTCATTCATATTGTGCAAACAGCTACCCACACAGAGAGAGCGTTTAAAATCTCTAAAATTGTTTAGAATGTGTGTAGTTGAAAATTTATTAAATACGAGTCCACTGGTATTCTAAGTAAATGGCCACTTTATGTGTCCTCGACACAAAAAGACTCCGATGCCAAATGTATATCTCGTAGACAGCATTATGCAGCACCAAAAAAGAGCAGTGGACAACGTGGATGTGTGAAATGTGTGAAGTTACATTGTGCCTTCAGAAGAAAAGAATTCCTTGTTTAAAAAAAAATTGTGAATAATTTTTTTATATGTTAGACCTTTTTAATTATTTGCTCCTATTGTATTTTTGTTTATTCTAAGTATGTATGTCTAAATTAGTATATTTTACAATTTTATCCTTAATTTTTTTATTCAAGTATGTTCATTTCATACGTAGATACTGCAAATTTATATGTTTTAAGAAACTGCAGTAATGCTAAAACTTGAAAAAGATTTAGTATTTTCTCCTAAAGAAATGAAAATGCTCCCTTTGCGAAATGTCATTGAATACTGAATGGATATGTATTTAGCTGTAAGTCATCATAGAAAACATGCTGAACAGAGGAAAGAGAGGTGAAATGTAAATAAACATGAGGCCTAAACATTCTCCTTTTCAAGCCTGTACCAAATAAAAAACTTGTCTATATCAAAACTATGAAATCATTAAAAAATATCTAAACAGTTTTACAAGGAGCTATTTATTTTTCGAATATGATCAATATTTTCTAGGTAATTATTCAAAAACGTTTTTATCTTGCATTTTCATTTAGTTGCTAAAACTAGGACTTTATATACGCATGTTAGGAGAATTTATACTTAGGGAAAGATGCCATTTCATTGCTCTAAATGTGTGCTAGGACAAGCGCTATCCCATTGCATTAAGAATTAAGTTTAAAAGTTTACCAGTATTTTGTTTTTCATGATGTACCATTGTATTAGGGGCTATGCTACTGTTGTTTTTTCACAATGTGAGAAACATGCATACATTCATGCAAATCATTCATTATATAATTTCTTTAAATATAATACTGGAAGATAATACTTGGTGACAACAATTTAAAAATTGATCCACCGTTTATAGGGAGACTCCACAAAATAGAGTTTTAAGACTAATAGTCATTCTGGGATACCTTCCCTTTGAACTGATAATATTTCCATTAACCATAATATTTTTGAAGACTGTTTTGTTTTGACAGAAAGTAAAAATAGCCTCAAGTTTAATTTTGAAAACTTATTTAAAGAATATTTGGCAAGCGGTTTGAATGCATGCAAAGAAACGGTGTGTTGTCTATTCAAATTAAATAAATTTAATTTTCACAATTGAATTACATTTTAGAACTCAAGAATATAATTTAAGAATTGCTTGGTATATTCATATGCAACAAATAAGGCCCCACTGGCTGGAAATGTCCTCAGAACTGTAGGTCCTAGCCCTTTGTACAGGCCTCGGAAACCTGAAAGAAAGACAATTCAGATTTTTCAAAAATTATAGTTTATATTAATAATAAGTATTAAGAGTTAATCATGACAGTAGCTATATTACTGCATGAAGTAATTTTGCCCAAATAAAACATGTTGTATGAATATGGAAATACTTGGTACATCTAGTCAGAATAAACATATGAACCTAAAACTTTATTAATTTAGAGAACTCCTCTCATGCTTAAATCAGCAACTATTACGAACTCATAACTGATTGTGCCAAATTATGCAAAGGCCATCCCTCGGACATTTTACAAATTTACACTGTCTAGTATGTAGTGATAATGTGTACGTTAAAGTGATAAACTTAATTAAAATTTAGAAGGAAAACATGCTTTTTGTTTTTATTAATGCATGCAAATAACTGTTTATCTGTTGACATAATAAATCAACTCATACCAGATGAATAATCTCATTCCAAACAAATATGCAGAATAAATGTCAAATAAATAAACTGAAATTTCTCTCTTCATAAATCTCTAATTTATCCTTAAACTGCATACAAAATAAAAATGTTAATTTTAACCAATTTTTTAAATAAGCAATAAATTGATCTGAATTAAATTTACTGAAGTTTCCATGGACAACCTATGCAATCTGTCAAGAGTAAAATGAAATGGCCAATAACATTATTGGTCCGATAGGCATATATAGATGGCAATGGATATTCATAGACTCCAACCACTACGGATTCTTCGTAGTTTCTACAGAAATTATGGGAAAAACTATGGATTTTACAGAAACAGAATAGGAGAACCAGTACGCAAAACGGAACCAACTAATTCATCCAATGATTGGCTGAATACTCGTGTCATCATATATCACGTGTTGAGTGCGTTGCTTGTTTTGAAGAACAGCCAATCGTAGATCAGTAACTCTAACCGTTAATGACTTGTCAATAGTCCCCCTGCAACATCTGTCTATTGTGTCTGTCTCCCAGGTTCATTGCTGCTGCATGTTTAACTTGCCTTCAGCTCCATTGTTTGGATTACGGTGCGAACTTAGCGTGAATTGGGATTCGGGTGGAAGTTTTTTTTTTTTTTTAACAATGCTATCTCGAACAAAAAAGCCAAAATTATCAAAGCAGAAATTTAAAGATTCATATTCTTCAGAATTTCCATGCATTAAAGCATCCGAAATTTCTGTGAATCACGCACACTAGTGTATGCAATGAAGACTTCTCAGTTGCACATGCGGAAAAGAAGACTGTAAACGGCATGTTTTTTCTCAAAAGCATATAGAACTTGGCACTGTAAAATATAAAGAAATAATGAATTTCTTAATAAACAATGACGAAACAGGTCCTATAGAAGCCAAATGCTATTGTGTTCGATTTTTAATTGAGCACAATCTACCACTTTCTGTTTTGGATCATTCCAAAGAGCTTTTCAAAGCGCAATGTTTCCAGATTCTGCCATAGCAAACCAATTTAGCTGTGGTCATATTAAAACTGCCGCTATTGTGAAAACGCTTGCAGAAAGTACTGTTGCCGATATTATAAAATCAAGTGTGCAATACATCATTTTCTCCAAGTACTGATGAAAGTAATGATAACAAACTGTATCCACTGATTATAACATATTACAGTAAAGAAAAGGAAGTGATAATTATGTCATTGATTTCTATTTTAGAGTGCACGAGAGTTACCAGAGCAGGTATTTTTAATTGTATAAATGAAAACTTTAAAAGCAAAGGTTTAGAATGGAAAAATTGCTTATCATTTTCTTTAGATAATGCTAGTAATATGATTGGAAAGTTTAAAGGTGTAGCATCGTTTATCAAAATGCATCATCCAATGTTGTCCATGCCACCTCTTGCATATAACTGCAAAAAAGGCTACTGAAAAATTAATTGGCTCAGAAATCGAAATGTTGTTAATATTTTTATTTGGAGAAAAGTTCGAAATGGAAGCATAGCTTTAAAGTTGCTCAACAAATTTGGGGACAGAATGCAAAATCTCGTGAAATTTTGAAATATTGCTGTACGAGATGGTTGTCTCTTTTAGAATCTATAACAAGAATTTTGGAACAGTGGGATGCTGTGATAAATTTTTTTGGAGATCAACCAGATAACAGTGAGAATGAAGGAAAGAGATTGCAGAACATTAAAAAAATGTTACAATCACTTACCCCCAAATTGTACTTGTTATTTTTGAAAAATACTTTGCCTATGTTTATAACAGTAAATAATAATTTGCGACAACAAGCTCCTTATATGCATAAATTGAGAAGAGAACTTTTAATGAATTTATGTGTTAGATTCGTAAAACCATTAGTAATTTCTAAAGAAAATGAAGATTTTACTCTAAGATCTCTTCCATTTCGCAATTATAGAAAACAAGAAGAAAATGAAAATTTAGTGATTGGTGCAGGAAACAAGACTATATTTAAAAAATGCCAAGTTGAATGAAAGTGAAGTAAGATCATTTTTCAATTCTCTGTGAGCTGTTTTTGTAACTACATGTTCATATATACTAGATAAATTTCCACTAAGTGATCCGTTTCTAAAACTTGCTGACATCAACTTGAGGACTGAAGTTTCATTTTCATCTGTTCTTTAGTATCCATTATTGATGAAAAATACTTAATCAAGTAGAAATTGAATTTTCCATGTATCAAGTAGATGATTTGAAAGAAATTGTAGATTTGCATATTGATACAGCATGGGGAGAAATTGCCAAATTAAAAAAGTATGAATGGATTTACTAAATACAAAGTATTGCCTACTGTAATGCTTGCTGTCTTAATAATACCTCATTCAAATGCAGCTTGCGAAAGAATTTTTCTATTGTTAAAAAAACTCAGACGGAATTTCGACCAAATTTAGGTCCTAAAACTCTCGAAGCAGTTTTGATTGAAAAAATAAGTATGCAGGCAAATAAAGAACTGTGTTATAAAAAAAACATTCTCAAAATCAGAACTTAAGCTTGCTAAGCATGCTACATAAAAATCTTTGCATTCGTAAATTATAAGTATTTTTTTAATACTTATATGTTGGTTATTTTTATTTTCCTGCGGAAATGAAATCCATGTATGATTCATGGATTCTGATTTTTTCTATGATTAGTAGTGATTTAAAATATTTGTTTTTTTCATATAATAGTAGATTTTATAATGTAACAAAATTGATTACAATTAATAATTTATTAAAAATTAATGAATGGTTAATTACAACATGCATTATGCACGCATTTTCAAAGTTGTAAAAATGTCGTTCGCATGTTGACTACTGACAAGTTCTGCTGCAGGTTGGAGTCTATGGATATTCATCAGTTTTTAAGCTGTTAGATCCAGTTCTTAAAGGAAGGAAGATCCAAGTCCATGAAAAAGTTTTCCAATACATTTTGTTATGTCCTGTATGATCAAGAAAACTCTCATGTCTAATGGTCTTGTATGTTCAAGAAAACTTTCATGTCTAATGATCTTTTAGATTGTTGCATGTGAAAGACTTTCATTCTGAAAAATTTTTTGATTTGAACATGCTCAATTTAGATAATCACCATTCATACATATGGAATCAGCATTCGTTCGTTTCCAGCAATAAATGAAAGATGTTTTTTCCCTCATAAATAGATCGCAGTTACTGATCTACCAAAATACACATAAAACTCAGAACTGCCATTTATTGCTGTATTCAATTATTGAAAAAGAGATATATGCAGTGGATTTCCAAATACAATTCACTCTCATGAAGCCTACGAGACTATTTAAAATCTAAAACTATGAATTACATTGTCTGTGACATACAATGTTTTATCACTTCACTTTATACTGCATGCAAATTTTATGATAAATTTCATGGATTTTTCAGTCATGTAGTCAAATATAAATTATACATAAAAGTCAGTAATATAAATTATACATAAAAGTTATCTTCCCATTTAATCTGTCCAATATTGAAAATTCAACACCAAGGAGTGGCCAGAAAGTGATGAAACTCGACAGAGACGGACAGCAACAAATAATAAGTGATCTTTATTTTGAAATGTATGCATAATACAATGCGAGAACCACATCAATTCAGTAGGCTGTAGGACCACCTTGGATGGCGATACATGAAGCAACACATGTAGGGTACAGAGTCAATAAGACTATGGATTGTGCTCTGAGGAATGGCTCTCCATGCCCTGTCAACCATTTACCACAGTTTGTATTCTGAATGCAGCAATGGCAACTTTTTGCACAGTGCCATTGCAAATGGCTTCCAATCACATCCCAAATGTGTTCGATTGGTGAGAGAATGGTGGCCAGAGAAGCATCTGTACGCATTGGCTGATGTGAGGAATCTCTGGCCTATACCAGAAAATGTTAACAATATATACTACAATTTAACATTAAAACATTTTTATTATTCGCACAGTTGACTGCTTAAGTTGGATTTGGAGAGCTCTTTTCTGTGAACATACGGGGATTGGACAAAAATATGGAAACACCTCGTAAAATTCATGCTTGAGCTGAAATGTTTATTTCTTGCAAAAGCTGTTGGTGGTGGTGATGTGTTTGCTTACTAACGCCGCCTGTATAACATCCTATGAATACGTTGCAAGTGTCATTCGTTATTGAGACAGTATGCTGTGCAGTTGTGGATGCGTTACGACGGGCCTAAATGAATTCGAACGAGGGAAAATTGTTGGGGTTCGTAAGGTGGGTGATTTTGTACTAAGTTAGTTGAAGCATTTGCTGTTTGAAGAGGTACAGTATCTAAGATTTTTAACTCGGGCAGGAAAACCAGAAAAACAGCATCCGCTAAATCACGGCGAGGACGAAAAGGTGCGCCGAGTGATCATGACAGACGATCATTGAATAAGATTGTGATAAAAAAAGAAGAGGACTGCAGCCTCAAAAGTGACTGGTCAACTAAATGTCACACTCGCAAATACTGTCAGCACCAAAGCAATACAAAGAGAACTCGACACGTAGGATATTTTTGGGCGAGCTCGCAAGTTAAAAGCTACATCACTGATCAAAATGCATGTAAGAGGAGAAAGGGGTACCAAAGTCATAAAACTTGGATTGTAGAGCAAAGGAAGAGTGTCGTTTGGCCATACGAGTCTTGCTTCGCACTGTTTCCGAATTCCGGGCGAGTTTACTTATGGCAAACGCCGTCCCAAATGTATGATAGAGACTGTTTGCTGCCAAGAGTAAAACATCCCGGATGTTCGGTCACGGGTTGGACAACCGTATCGTGGTATTCCATAAGACCCATCAAACTGTGTAAAGTTTCATAACTACTAAGACCATATGACCATTTTGCTGATCACGTCCATCCCATGTTGCACTTGCATCCCATTGCATGCTTTGTTTCCCAGTGGTGATGCCGTATTCCAAGACGAGAGAGCTTCTGTTCACACAGCTCACATCGTGCAGGGCTTGTCTTCTGAGCATGAGAGTGAACTTTCACATTTACCATGGTCACCACAGTCACTGGACACCAATATCATTGAGCCTTTGTCGGCTATATTTGAGAAAAATCTGCGTGAGCGCTATCCACCGCCATCATCGTTAATTGAACTTCCCAACGTTTTACAGGAATAATGCTACAAGATTACCTAGAAAAACATACAAGACGTCTATTTATCCATTTCGAGAAGCCTACACCTTGTTTCGAATGCCAACAGTTTTCATGCATCGTATTAATCACAGCAATAAAATTTTATTTCGGTGTTTTCATAATTTTATCCAGCCCCTGTAAATATTTCACTTGAAGAAGTCCTTTTAATTTGTTTTGGTTACCAATTGCATTAATTTTAATAATATATAAAAATAAATATTACATTTAAATCAAAAATAACTGACTGCTTCCTAAAATGTTTGCAATGATTAGAAAATAAAATAAATGATTCAATAACTAGTAGCATGAATTCTACAAGTTATATAACTTGGAAAACCATACCTTCTTTTCGTAAAATCTGCTTAGTAACATCAATCATTGACTCAGAAGTAACAGATATTTGCATGCGCGATTTTATAACATCTGCTGGAAATATTGCAACCCAAAATGACACACCTCCTATTCCTCCTGCTATTGTTGTTCTCAACAATCCTGTAAAATAAAGGAAACAACTCTATCATAGATGTATAAAAATTGCAAACCCTTAACCACATAGTAGTTATACTTAACACATAAAAGTTTTATACTAATATGACTTATAATAGCCATATTAGTATAAAACATACCTATATCATCTTTAGTTTTTCCTTTTGGTGTAAATAGCTCTCTTGCTAATTCATAGCTCCCAAAGAAGAAGAAATATCCAGGCATTTCTCGTATTACTGTGGCACCAAATCCTCTAAAAAATCCTAATGCACCCTCTTCTTTAAATATTTGTTTAGTAAGCTTCCACGGTCCTCTAAAGCAAAACAAGAAAAGCATATTATGATTTGAAAATGTTCAAAAAACAACACATACACAATGTTAAGAAGTTTCAAGTTAGACTTTTTTTTAACATTCCATAATTTCGTGTTTTACAAAAACTGTAGTAAACTTCCCAATGGCCTAATGGGCAGGACTACAGAACAGTAGAAGTTTCATCCTCCATTTTCCTTAATAGTTCTTTATTTATTCAAATTAAATTTTTAATTCAAATTATGATTTAATGTTTTTATTTCTAAATATTCTTATATTATTTCCTCTGCATATCAAGACTAAGATGCATAAAAATTATTTCATAAAATTAAAAATTCTACAGGAAAGAAAATTAAAACAGGAAACTGCCAAATCATTTTATGGAATATTTTGCAATTACAATAAAATAACAGATTATCAACTTCAATGACTATCAAGTAGCGAGTTTAATAAATTTTTTCCTTGCCTTTCAAGCAAATTCATAAATTATTTTTGAAGTACACATGTTGTTTAAAACTTTTTGTTCCACATATATTACAGCCATTCATTTTAATCTTTCTTCTGACATTGCATTTCTTAAATAGTTTTCTTACCTCTTTTAAGACAGAGAATGATCTCTCTGCAGATGCACGGGAAACTGCAATGGTCAGAAACATTATTTAAATAATATCTACATTAGGAAAAGTTGATGACATTTCTTTTGGAGCATGATATACTTGTGTGTCAGAAATAAATTTGTCTTCCTTTCAAAAACAATAAAAATCTGTCCCACTTCATCATAAAAATGCATAACATCTTAGGTATAGGTTTTCACTTTTTTACAGGACTTTGTTCGAATTCAATAACTTGATATTTAAAAGTTTTTTCCAGCACTTTTTATATACTTCATTTCTACAAGCAAGTTGTAATATTATATTGTAACAATTAATATTAAAAGAATTTAAAATAATTTTCCCACCTTCAAAGCAATTTAAATCTTCATTACTTTTATCAATCCCCCCTTTTCTGTGACCTACGATTCTGTTCTTTAAATATCAGAGATATCATTGCAATTGCCTTTTACCAAATTTATGATGGTATCCAGCAATAAAAATTCCGAAATATTTTAATAAATGAGCTCTTTTAAATTTGGTGCACTTAGTTATTTGTATGGATCTTGGTGTCAATCCTTCTCTGTAAAATGGTATTTCAAATTACTGTCATGAATATTGTTTCATATCTGCACAATTATTAATATATGGTCTCCACTACAGTTACTTTCTTTGAACTTGATGCACATATGTCAGATAAGGCTTTTTTTGCATGGTTGTAATCAATTTTTAATGAGAGTGCATACGTCTGTCCTAAGATATTCGGCTCCCATCGGCTACTAACAATAATGAGCCTTTCTTCATAACAAAATACATGGGAGAGATAGCCAAAGTGAGGTGACCGGCAAAGTTTTACAAAAGTTTCAGAACTAAAAAATCAATTTATTACCATTACACAAGATAAAAACATAAAATTCATACCCCCAAAAAAAAATCTGAAAAGTTTCAGATTTTAAATTACGTCCAAAGGGGCATTTTTTTTAATGTTTTGTGTGTAAACTTTATTTATTAAATAGCATGTTTTTTGTACTTAAACCATAAAATTCAGTTCAGTAGCAATGTCGCAAAATAATTTTAAAATGAGCATATCTTTACAATTTCTGATACACAGTTCCACGCTCGCTGGAGATAAAAAGGATTTTATTTTCCCCGCCGTAGAGTGTTGCCATTGCTCCCTTTTAAATCGTTGAGTTTGTTACTAAAAAATTCGTTAAAGTTTAATAAAATCGATAATAAAACAAATTCCAAATTTCAAAATTGGTCTTCCACATGTCCATATTCGCAGGAGGATTACGTCATTCAAATTCGATGGCTCTATATACCGTTGTTTTATTACAATGCGAGAAATAGACATACATTTATGCAGATTTTTCGTTATTTAATTTCTTCAAATATAATGCAAGACTCTAAAGTTTGGTGGCAACAGTTTGAAAAGTGAAACGGACATTTATAGTGATTCAACACAAAAGAAAACAATAGTCCTTCAGAGACAAAGCCCCTTTTTGGACTAAAAATTAAAACAAACTTAAATGAAAAATAAACTATATAAACAAAAGTAAGTTAAATTTTTTTTTGAGGGGGGAAAGGCAAATTGGTTAATAATCACACATATTTAAGTTATTAAATAAATCATTCTTTATAGATAAAATATTTAAATCATTTAATTTGTCCCAAAAATGCCTGTAAATAGTTTTATACTCCTTTTAGTGCTCAAAAAGATATTTCACCACTGCAATTCGCAGTGACAATACTTTAAAAAATTCCACATAGTTATGGCCACATTCAGAAATGTACACTGAATTTTCAAGTCAGTTATTGTCCTTAAACTATGTTCTACTGTAGAAATATTTTCTTGAAGCATATCAATATCCAAAATCTTAATTATTTCTTGTTTCATAAATTTTTTGTGTGTAACAGAATTTTTCTGTGCTTGTGTAAAGTTCTAAATAAATTCTGCTTTTAGTAAAACTATTACACTGAATAGGTGCAAAACTGTGCAACAATGCATGATAAGAGCTTTTATGCTAAATGAATAAATTTTCAGTTCTTTAAATATGCATGAACCATTTTTTATTACAATATAACTTTCTCCAAAATTGCATGGATGTATATTGTTTAGCAGTGTTAAATTTTTCTTTCGAACAGATAGCATTTCTGGTAAAAACCATTCATAACCAATCATCGGTAATGGTATTTGCTTTCTAAATGCACTTACAGTAAGTACTTCTAATAGTCTGTTAATTTTCACTTACATTTTTTTAATTTAAATTTTGAACTAATCTGAATATTTTGATTTAATTTTTCTTTCATGGGCATAACTCAAGTATTTTGTTTTCAATGATTGTTCATAACTATTTCTGTTACTGATTTCAGGCCAAGTTGGATATGATTTTTAATCTCTCAATGAAATTAAGTATGTAAGCATTTATCGTGGCATGCTAACAAATAGCTAACAAAAGGAAACTTGTAACAGTTTCAGAATACTTTTTTTTAAATTTCATAAATGTTATTTAAAATAAAACCCTAAATTTTTTTTAAAGAAACTCTTTCTTTCTGTAGCTCTTAAATGCTACTTTGGGCTGGATTATTTTAGTTATGAGAAAGCATGCAAAGGTGATCTGCCTAAGAGGAGGGATGCCTTCATGGGGAACTTTCTAATATTATATATGGAAAAAAGCATGAACCATGCAGGCAGGGATATGAATGCTTGTCAATCTAGCCATTTTATCATTTGGCCGCTAATGGGTCTTAAAATTGTTTCAATACATGTAAATGTTTTTGCTTTTTATACTCATCTGAATGAATTTGCATTATACAATTCAAATAAAATGATAGAAAATCCCCAAAATACATGTATTGAAACAGGATATAATTTTTCTTCAATTTCTGTGATGAATTATTGTATTATAATAAATTTTGTTTTACGTTCATGGCAAAACCGGTGAGCTCTGTTGGGTTGTTGCAAGTGAAAACATCAGATTTTTACTGGTTACGGAAGAAAGCAAGCACTGTCATTTGTGGAAATATATTCATGTGATGTGACGTCACACATGCACGATGCTACTGTTGTATTAGCTTTGCCAGTTTTAAAACATAATAAAGGTTGTCTAAGATGATCTACCTATGGTTCCAAATGATTCTGAAGTTATATGGTGGTGGTAGTTTTAGAAAGAGATGTTTAGTCTTCAGAAATACTGGTCATTTTCAAAGGTAGTTGTCTCAAGGAAAAGGACACCTAGAGAGGCTTGGCTATATTTTCATACTTTTTATATGCATAAAAATTAATTATGATTTAATAAACACAAAAAATTCTAAAAATTTATTTTATGAACGTTAAATAAATAATTTAAATATGGGTATTTATTATATTTTTACAAAGTACCTTGCAGTGTATTGTTCAGGATATTTATACTATAAGCCTCATAAAAAATTATGATTAGTTGTAAAGCACTGGAGCACATTTTTAAGCTCGTCTACATAGTCTGAACAGTGTTTCCTAAAAATTTTCTTTATCTAAGTAAGGCAGAAATATAGCAAAATGTGTTTATTGCAAAAATGTGTGCAAATCAATATTTGCTCAGCTGATTATTTGGATCAACTTGAATGCTTTACATGTAGCATTCACTTTCAGTCTACTGTGCAAAAGCACAAGCAATTTCATAAAAACCAGAGAACACCAGCTTACTTTTGTAGCTCATTAGAATAAGTTATTACATACATATAAATGTAATAACTAGAAATGCCATTGATGGCCCAGATGTTGAAGTATACTATAGAAATACTAGGAAGTCTTGATGATACATAGTAGATTCCCATTGAACAAGTTAAAATGTGGCTGAATAAACATTGCTTTTTATTTAGTTGATTAAACACTGCCATCAGCCAGCATAAATAACTGGGTGCCATAGTACTTGCTTTTTGGAAAATTAAATTGATACCCTTACATTTTAAAAATATAATTTTCAAAAGAGCAAGCTTTAGCAGGTCTAGTCAATAAGAGAACCAGAAAAACAACAGTGTTGCGCCTAGGACCAAACCTTAATTCAAAATGAATTAGTTTTGATTTCATTTTGATTGGCTAATAACATGACTCTAAAAATTATTATTGACTGGTTTAATCCACAAAACATCACCAGCATTATGTAAAAGTCATATGACATGTACTAATCTGGAAATCATGCAGTCTAGAGGGGTTTTATTATAAGCAATTACTATTTTACGACAGAAAAGGGAAATATCCAACTTAAAATGAAGGTTTAAGGAGCTACCTCAAATTTAAGTTAGAATATTTCCTGTTAGTAGCTTACTTCCAGCTACATGTCACTGTTTGCCTCTCTGTATCACCAGTCATAATGCAAGAAATCACAAAATGTTGAAGAAAGAGTATATATAGCTTGCACCCATTGTATTTCATAATGGGAATGTTCTTTTTAGGAACAAGTGTGTTGAATTGACATGACACCTACATTTGATTCCAAGTACATAATTATGCATTGTAACACCATTATTATCTACATCCGCTGCCATGATTGAAGTTATTTGTGTTTCCTGCAATCAAAATCATTACACAAACACATATGTATGAACTTATTTATGTGTAATACTAAATACTAATGATGCTAAATACATAATGATAAAAAAATTAAGACATAAAATGCTACAGATAGGGAGATGAAAAAACGCATATTAAGCCATATCAAACTATTCTGCATTTTTTCCAATTTTCATAGTGCAGTTTGCCTGCAGATGCTCTGTTCTCAAAGTGAAAGTATAAATCCTTAGACATGCATGTAATTTTAACTTGCATACAGTCAAAAGTCGTTAATCCGGACTCGTCGGGACTTCGGCGATTCCGGATTACAGATCATCAGTTGAAATCTGGTAAGATGGCATGCAGAAATTATAAAATTAAAAATATGAAACCGTAATTTATGAAATAAAGAACAATTATGATCTAAAGGGTATCAAAATTTACAAAAAAAGCTTAATATTTAATTGTTTACTTTACTTTCTTCGCTATCGGAAGCGAATTATAATGATGAATTTGATTTAAATCATATCAAAGACGGAGTACGTTGAGATGAAATACTACATTTAGTAAGGAATTATAAGCCAAATAAAATAAAAACATCTGCCCTGAAGATCAACTTCCAAATCATTGCGCGCCGCGGCGTCCCTTCGACGCAGAGCAGCGTGAAATTGATAAACAGATTTCGGAATGGTTAGATAAACAAAGGATATGCCTTTATCCATTTTTTGTATAAACAAAGGATATGCCTTTATCCATTTTTTGCAGCAATTCCACTTTTTGTTTAATGGACTTCGAAACATACTTTCGCTTTGTAGATCCTTTACATATTAGTAAATATATATCGGAAATTCTATTTGACATAATCAAAAGTTCAAGCTTACTTTTATAAAACTGGTCTAACAGTCTGCAAAAAATAATAAGCCGGATCCAATTTGAAGATTAAGGAACAACGCAATCTGCAACATTAACTGAATTAGATAATTTTAGCTTAGCTTATACTGTCCGTTATACATTAAACGCGCATGCGTAAACGTATTTTGGGCATGCGCACATGCATATTCGCAGCCGTAAAGGACTTTCTGACGCATGCGCGAAAGTTTGTAGCTTTGAGGTCCGGATTAAGGGTGTCCGAATTAACGACTTTTGACTGTATATCTATTCGTTTATGATTTTCATGCATTTATTGTATTTGTTACTTCAGATTACCAACATGTTTGCTTTCAGTCCATTTTACTACACTTTATGGAAGAAAATATATACCTTCTTTCTGTCAATACAAGCTAAATAATGCAGAAAAAATTTCAAATCATTTTGACAGTTTAAATTTACATAATGTAAAAACATTTCAAACCATTTTGATAGTTTACAAATACATAAGGTAAAAAAGTAATAATAAATAATAGCTAAATCAATACATAAGCAGTTAAAATACAGGGTGATCAGCGAATAAGCCCTGATTTTAAAATTAAATATCTCTACAACAAAGATCGATAGAATTATGCAGTAAACTGTACGTTTATTAGAAAAACTGTAAAAATGGTGTACAAATGTTTATAAAATTTAGTTATGAAAATCGTTAACAGATGGCACAGTAATCACAATGACCTATCAATAGCCTTTAAAATGTGCTTCAAAGTCGAAAGTGATCAGTACAACTGTTGGCTAGTGAAAAGAGGCTAGCATAGAAAGTGAAATAATGTATTCCATTGAACAACGTGTATTTTGGTTCTGGAATTTCACCGATTAGAACAGTCCTACGGCAACACGTTGCAGTTTTCAAAACTGATTCAATGTTCCAGTTGGAAAACCATTCTCATGCTCTTCGCGAAATTCGAATGGACTGGCAGCGTGGCTGATGATCGAAAGGGAAATGTTGGGCCTAAGCAAACTACAGTCACTCCTGAAAATGCAGCCAAAGTTTCCGGATTTGTTCAGCAAAATCCTAGGAACAATGATCGACAACGACAGATTTGATGGGAGCTGCATCTGGTTCACAGATGAGGCAGATTTTCATTTGAATGGAATCATTAATAAACAAAAGATTTTGGGGTACTGAAAATCCTCATTTGTGTGAAGAAAAAGCCAGTATGCGCCTGCAGTATGCGCCAGAGGCATTATCGGACCCTTTTTCGTACGAAAAACGATAACTACTGAACGTTACGTTACAATTTTGGAACAATTTGTCAGCACTCAACTAGCGTAGGAGGGTCGACCAGGTGTCGACTGGTTCCTGCAAGATGTGGCCATCAAACAAATAAAGTTTTTCACTTTCTTCATAAATACTTTGAGAATAGAGTAATTGCGTTAGATTATGCTCAATTTACTGACACAGGAATAGCTTGACCTCCATATTCTCCCGATCTGAGTCCATGTGACTTCTTTCTGTGGGGTGCATTGAAAGATGCTGTCTATGGAAGCAATCCTGCTACTCTAGATGAGCTTGAATCGTTGATTGGTGTTGCATGTGATTCCATTTCCGTCGAGACACTGCAAGACATGATGTCAAATTTCACTGTTCATTTACGGTTCTCATTGTTTTGAATGGAGAACATTTTGAAAAAATTGTATTTTGATTGCAAGGGCTGCTTCACTTTATTTGTTTAATTAATTTTTTTGACTCCTTTCAGAGAGTTTTCAGTGCAGAGCACCATCTGTTAACAATTTTTGTAACTAAATTTTCTAAACTTTTGTACACCATTTTTACAGTTTTGCTAATGTACAGTTTACCGCATAATTCTATCGATTTTTGTTGTAGATATATTTAATTTTGAAATCAGGGCTTATTCGCTGATCACCCTGTATATGAAGCACTTGTTCTGCAACTTACCAAAACTTCAAAATATGACAAAATTTTTGTTTTGAAAATTTGCAATGCAAGAACTTCATACTTAGATATTTTTCCTCGATTATCTATAGCGGCTAATTTTCACTCATATCGCTGTTTCAGACTGTAAACAGTACAAAATCCAAGATCCAGACTTGTCGGGATTTAGGCGATTTCAGATCTAGGATTTTTCTGGATATTAGATTATTAGTTTGAATCTAGTGAGATGACATGTAGAAATTACAACTAAAAATATGAAATAATGGTTTGTGGAATAATGAAACATTTCTTAAGGGAATCAAAATTTACAAAAAGTTCCAAAATTTATTTTTTAGCTTTATTAAATATTTCTTTCAATGTAAGTTGTTTAAGATTTTTTTTTTTTTTTTTTTTTTGTGCTATTACTTTTTCTTTAATTCTACAGACAGACATAATTTCTCATTCTCACTTACTTTTATATGCATTAGAAAATTCAAACTTTTGGTGCTATTACTTTCTCTTTAATTCTACAGATAGACATAATTTCTCATTTTTTACTTATATGCATTCAAAAATTCAAATTTTTGCTCATTATTATTCTGATATTTAGAGTCAAATAAGTGATATAACAATAGCAAAAAAATTGTTTTTAAATAGTTATTTTCCATTATGTTTCATATGCTTGGTTAATAGTAATTTGAACTTAGTACAAAATCCGAAATCCAGATGTCCAATATCTGCACCTCCAGATTATCAATTAATGAAATAAAATAAACAACCCCCAATCTAGGAATGGTGAATAATAACTCAACAAAAGAAAGCAGCTGTGCAGGAAATGTGATTTTTCTTCCAAGATTCCTGCATCTCAAAAACCTGCTGGCTAGGGAGTCACACCGTGGTCAATAACAATAGACTGATGTTACATCGATATTGGCCAATATCACATTTTCGAGCCTTGAATGGCTGTGAAGGCTGATCCAATTTCTGTGAATTCTAAATTCTGCTGCCCAGTGATTTATTAAATTCTAATGATTTTGCCATTCCTAATTTTTGAGTTCAGCCTTTAAATTTAAAAATTTTTTCCTGCCCCTACATTCTATCCCTTTCAATTTGCACCAGCTCTGGTGCTGACCTCATGGATGGAGTATCTTTCAATTGGATCTAAAAAATAAGTGAAGCTCCAAAGTTGCCATGTCTACAAGTCATCTTACTAGGTTTAAATTCATGATACAGAAATTTCTGAAATTCGGAATCGCCGAAGTTACGACCATTCTGGATCTCAAACTTGCTTCATAAACAGGGAGAAAAATGTAATATATTCAGCTCACATGAGAACTTGCTTGGATACAGATTTGGCAGCTTGAACTTCACGGTTAGCTTGAAGGCGGCATTTAATAAGCTCAGTAGGACAGAGAGTAAAAGATGAAAAGAAAGCTCCTAAACACCCAGCTGCAGCATTTTCTAATGGATTTAGATTCATGATGTCATCTTTCTTAGCAACTAAATTTACAGCTTTCTGACAGACACCATAGGCACAAAATAACACAGAGTTTTCAGCAATATTAGCTACTAAAGCAGGCACAGTTCCAGCATAAAGTCCTCTGATATGCTCATTCACAAATGTCTGTTTGAAACACACAAAGCTGTTTCGGTATAAATGTGGGAAAGTTTGCATTTTTACTTTAACAGTATCTAAAGGTTGGCCAACAAGCACACAAGCAGCTCCACCTATAAAAAAAAATTCTAAGATTATTTTTATCAATATTAAATTAAAATATCACACTGACAACACATTTTTTTTAAATATTAATAACATTTAAAAAATATCTGTATACATCTAGACATTTCCGGAAAATTAAAAAACAAAGTTTTATTTTTGAATATCAGGAGCAAGATGATATGATTTCTGTTAACTCAAGAACAATTGAAAAGATCACAATTATGCATCTAAAAATGTATGTAATTTTAATCAAATCTAACCATGTAGCACAGCAAAGGAACATTGCATCAGTAAACATACAGCATATTATCTAATTGCCATCATTTTATGCACCTGGACAGCAAGATAAAACTGGTTTGGGAAGTTGACCAATATTTCATAATCTAAGTGTTAAAAAATCAAACTAACAGTTCCATAAGAATAACTGAGATATATTCTTCATCAAATTAACTATAATGGAACATCACTGATGGCTTAAGACATACGGTTAAGAATTTCTCCATACTCTTTGTAAACTATTTTAAAACATTAGTTTCATATCTTGTATTTCAAGTGAATTGAAATTTTGTTGTTGTTTTGCAGTTAAAAAGCAGATGTTGTGGCTTTTAGTGGATATTTATTACACAAGACACTGTATTTATCCACAACACTTTATTATATACAAGACACATCACACAGTACATAAAAGCTTACAAATACACACGTACAACTTAAACAACCGGCACTTATGATCTGTGCATGTCCACAATCGCTTCCTGTGCCAAGCATCGCATAGCTACACGATGCTTGGCGCATGCCAGTTCTAAGTTTGATTACTATTAAGTTCTCGATACACCACATCTCTCCCCCTTTATAACAAGAGCAGTCTATCTGGAGACGTCAAATTCTACTGGACTGATGCAAAGGTTGTGGCACAGCTGGTTTCTTTGCTAACCTGGTTGTATCAGCAGCAGCTCTGGTGGATGGGACTTAAGGTAAAATCTTTGCTTTAGAAAACGAAACAGACTCACCTACCTGGTGGCTATTATCTTTGGGTGGTTCTGGAACTCCACTCTTATTAGCTTCTCGGGAAATAACGAGGACTGGCGGTGGACATATGAACTCCTCATCGATTATGGTTTCTCCATCACGCATCTGGTTAACATGTTGCCTCCAAAGCTGGTGGTCTATATTTATAGTGTAATGTAACTGCCCATTCTTGCATTGGTCGATTCCGAATCTCCATCGTCTGTCACCTTGGTGATAATTCCTCACTGCCACTGTGTCACCAACCCCAAATCCTTGATCTACAAATTCGCAGGTTCCTTTTCGAACTCCGTCTCCCACCCTCCTTTTGATATCTGGTCTCAATAAATCTATTCTTGTTAGAATTTCCCTCTTCCGCATCAGCATTGCAGGGCTCTGTAGAGTAGTTAAATTTGGAAATTTTCTATATTGCATTAAACATGTACTGAGTTTCTGTCTCAAAGTTCCCAGATAATTTTGCATGCTTCTCAAGCATGGTTGCATGGTAAACACATACCGTTCAGCCTACTGCGGTTTTTGTGTTTGATTCCATAACTCTGTAAGAATATCTTAAACTCGTGTGAAGTGAACTGTGGCCCGTTATCACTCATTAACAATATTAGTAATCTGAATTGTGCAAAAAGTCCCACAAACATTCTATTGTTTTGAAAGCAAAGCTTGATTTCATTGGGTAGGCGGCTAGCCATTTTGAGTGAGTGTTGACGATTATAAAAAATATATGCTCAAAAATAGGTCCTGCATAATCAATGTGAATACCTTCCATTAGAAATACTCAAGATACTCCTAATGATTAACTTTTACCTTCAGAGGATCTACTTCATGTTTTGTATATGCAAAACAGTTTTTAGAAATATTTTCAATATCCTTATCTATACCATTCTGAACCACATAAGATCTAACAATTGCTTTCATCTTTACAGTCCCTAAGTGTTGGTGGTGTAACACTTTCGAAACATTCTCATGATATAGTTTTGGAATACAAACGCACTGGTCATACATTATACAGCCATCTTGGAGACTGTACTCCATCTCCCTTCCTTTTAATTCACTGCCACTTTGAAGTATTGATAGCAGAGGACTGAGTTCTGCTTCAATTTCAGTTTCGTTAGCCATATCTCTGGCAATGATTGAGAATACTTTTTCTCCATTTCTAGAAGCATATGCAACTGGCCTTTCAGTTCCATCAGGAAGTTTGTGAGAAAATACCACAACTAACCCCACTGGCGATGCATCAGTTGCCAACGTTAAGGGTAATTTTGGATCGTAATGCCTCAAAACTTTTTGTGAACACAATTCTTTTTTAATGTTTAGAAAAGCCTTTTGACAATCCCTCATCCAAACCCATTTTGAGTTTTTCTTAGTTAATTGATATAAGGGATTTGTGATTGTTGCTAAACTTGGGCAAAACACTCCATAAAAATTTACTAATCCCAAAAAACTTTGAATTCCCTAGACATTTTAGGGTCTCAGAGTGCTAGAATTGCTGATACGTTTTTATGTAAACCATTAGCATCAATTTTATGACCTAAGAATTGTATTTCATCCTGAAAAAAATTATTTTTCTCCAAATTTCTCCTAACCAACAAAATTTCAAACTATTGAAATGAAAGGTTTATTGATAACTGAATGCAAAAAATATTATAATAAACTGCTTCAGAAGAAGTTCCTGATACAGAGATTGAAAAGAAAGTCAATGAATTCGAGATGTATATTGATCATTGGGATCTTTTGAAGAGGAACTAGAATGCTTATTGAGGGATCAATCATTGCCAAAAAATGATGCCGATTTGGTGCTAAATAATATTGTTAGTCAACAAAATACTTTATTATGTTACTTTAAAATAAAGTTGACAATATTGATGATAATAATTAGAACTGGGTATATTTTGGGTGAGAATTTAAAAAAATAGATGATCTTAATCTTGATTTATATGATAAATTTTCATATTTATGTCAAGCTACAGAAAACTGTAGTTCCGCCAAGGAATACCGTTTTTTTGTAGCTTTCTACCTGGTGGCAAGCTTTAAAAGCTAAAAGTCCTGGTGGCTTTAAAAGCTGTCTACCAATAATTACAAAAAAGATCTAAAATAAGTAAAAATGCCTTTTGGTAGAAAAGAAATATTAATTCAAGTATATGTTAGAGATTTATTAGCTTTAGTTCTTCAAAGGGAAAATTATTCTAAACATTGTTTATTAAAATTATTTGATCAATTAAAGAGTAATCTTGTTCACTTGAGTTGCTAGGAGTTACTAAGGAAAAATATGCTGCTATGTTGTTTGTGCAAGCAGAATCTTCCTTACCAGAGGATATGCTAATATCAAAGAAACGCGATATTAGCGTATCCTCTATCTGCACGTTGTCAGATAAGAGAAGTCAATGCAGAGGATACTGATGTGAGGAAAGTAACAGAGAAAGATGATTTAGAGTGCATATTAGATTTTTTACAAGATGAAGCTGAGGCAGAAAAATGAATTTAACTAGCCTTGCAAGGTTTTAATTCCAAATCTAAATGGATGTCACAATTGCCAATAAATTACCATATGAACAGGTTAAGAATAAAATTAAATTTGGGAGTTTTTTTAATGTTCTAAGTGTAAGAGATTTATTGATGCTGACTCTGAAGTTAAGCAACATATTCTGCTCAAATGCTCTTGGGAGATTATTTTAAGTGAGAAAAATGACTTTAGAAGATAGGGAGTCACTTGCACAAAAATCCAAATGTGTTTTGTGTTTAAAGCCAGCATATACAGTACATAAATGCAATATTAGAGCTAAGTGTTTATGTTGTGGGAAAAAACGTTATATGCATTATGTAGAAATATATCGCAAGTATAATTATGCAGCATTACAGAGACCTCAGATGGAAAAAAAATCTGGCAACAACTTCCAATGTCAAGCAGACACTTTCAAACATATCAGTAACTCCAAATGTGATGTTACCAGACATTCAAATTGACTATTACAAGAAATGGGGAAAACGTGCTGCTAGAGCTATTTCTGATACCACTTCACCAAGTCTGTAAACTTCACCTAGTAAAAACTGAGAGATATAGCCCTAGAAATGAGTTATAAACCTGAGAGTTATGAATATCTTCAACATTCCTTTTTTGGAGATGAAAATAAATGTTATGTAAACATGAAGTACTACTTTATATTTGTCTAGTATTCATAGAGATTGATTCATAGAGATTCATAGAGATTCATAGAGATGCAATTTAAAAGCTCTTAACAAGTTATTAGTGAAACTGTACTACCAGTTTTCAAACAAGCTTTGAAAGAATTAGCAGCATTTAATGTAAATGTTATCAATGACAATAGAAGTCCCATTCAAATCTTATTTGGAGCAGATGTCAAAGGAAAACTCTGACGGGTGGGTGTTAGATATTAATTACTTTGCTTGCCGATAGATGGCAATGCCTCTAACCTGACTAGCTAGGCAAGTGCACAGTATTTGTGCTGCGACACACTCTCGTCACTTGCCGCCAACCATGTAGCATCAATGTCTATCTTATGTATAAGTCATCTAATTTAATCTTATAAGAATAATTTATCTATGTTTGACAAGTCAACATATATAACACGGTGTCAGAGTTAACCATGCTCACGAATTTAATGCATAAATTAATATTTTAAGGATTACGTGCATTTGAAAAACTTGGAATCAAAAATGGCGCATAATATGCCCATGTTGTCACCGTTTGACGCTGGATAGAACCCTTCTGAAGCTTGGAGACACTGGAAGGAAGACTTTGAGGTCTATATCGAGGCAGTAAAATATAGCCAAGAGTCGGAAAGCACAAAAACTGGGCTTTTTCGACATGTTTGCGGTGACGAATTAAAAAAGCAATATCGATCATTTGATTTGAAGCCAGAAACGGGCAGCAGTGAAGTGTCCTTGAAACAAGTGCTACAAGAGTTCGACAAATATTTTGCAGATTATCAAAATGAGATTTATGCATCATTCAAGTTTCTGGAAATAA